CCCACCTCTCCAGCCTATTGGGATATTCTTTCTTTCCTGCTTTACTGAGTAAAACTTCTATAAACTTATTACCAAACTAGACTCATCTTTAAATTCTTTCTGTGGCAATGTCAAGGACTTAGTTGACATTGGGGCCACCAACATGGCACCCTATGTCACAAGCTTAGCACTCCATGTTGAAGTTAAGGTCTTTCGGAACCTCCCTGGGTTTGAACCAATCCTTGGTCTGGCATTACTACAGTATTTAGCAGGATCAGTAAATATCAATGTCTCCTAATACTATAGACAAAGTCCAACACACAATAAAATTATGTCATACAAAGAACTAAAAAAATTCCTTCTTCCATGAGAAAAGGTAATCAATTTATGCCAATCTAGGTGAATCAGATGTTCGACAGGTACAGCACTTGCTGCCATCATAAAATATTACAGATTATGCTGAAACAACTAAAAAATAAATCATCAGCAAAGACATCAAGGTTGTAAAAAGGAAAATAACTGAAAAATAAAAATAAAACAGCTTCTTGGGTCCCACAGTTGAACGGACATGACAGGGCACAGTACCAATGTCCTAGAGGACAGAGCAGAATTCTCTCAGTTTGAACAGGGGAGAAACAGAAGGGGGAGGAATGTACAGAGTCTCATGGATCTGTGAAGAACAGAACTTTCAACATTTGTATCATCAAAATCCCAGGAGAGGAGGAAGAGCGTGGATCGGAAGAGATTTGAAAAAACACCTGCTGAAAACTTTCAAAAACTGTTAAAAGACACAAAGTTCACAAAGTTTGAGCAACCTCAAACAGGAAAAACTCAAATACATTCCAAAGCACATTATAATTAAACTTTCTTCTTTTTTTTTTTTTGGTAAGGACTGGAGTCTGAACTCAGGCTTCATGCTTGCAAAAAAGGCACTCTACCCCTTGAGCCACTCCACCAGCCCAAACTTAAGTGCAAGCTTGAAAAACTAAACTTTCTGAAAAGAATAAAAACCAAAAAAACCCAGAAGACAACCTTTAGAACTGGGGGCGTGGCTCAAATGGTAGAGGTTATGAGTTCAAAGCCAAGTACCTCCAGAAAGGAAAAAAAAAAAAGGATGGAATCTGTTTTATTTTTTTGGTGGTACTAGGCTTTCAACTCAGGGCTTCATGCTTGTTAAACAGGCACTCTACCACTTGAGCCACTCCACCAACCCAAGAAAACAATCTCAAAAGAATCCAGAGAAAAATGACATATGACTTGTAGGGGAACATCAGTTTGAATGACAACGGAGTTCTCATTTGAGACCATACAAAACAGAAAGTGGCATAGCATTGTTTGTTGTTTTCTGTTTTTGCAGTGATAGGGTTTGTATTCAGGGCTTTATGACAGCTAAGAAGGCACTCTACCACTTGAGCCAGGCCACAGTCCTTTTTGCCCTGGTTGTTTTGGAAACTGATTTTTGCGCTGGAAAGTCTGAATTGCATTCCTCCTACTTTAGGCTTTGCACTGTGCTGGGATGACAGTTGTACTCCACCACACCCAACTTGGTTTCCATTGAGATGTGGTCTGGCAAACTTTATGTCTGAATTGGCCTAGAACCATGATCCTTCCAATCTTAGTCTCCCATATAGTTTGGGATGACAGGCAGATGCCACTGTGCCCAGCAAATGGTTGAGATGTGGATCTTGCAAACTTTTTGCCTCGGCTGGCCTCAAACTGCGATTCTCCACATCTCAGCCTCCCAAGTAGCTAGGATTATAGGCATGAGCCACTAGTGCTCAGCTGGCATACCATTTTTAAGTGCTAAAAGAACTGCCAACTGCAAAGTCCACGTTTAGCAAAACTGTTCTCTGGTAATGAAATGGAAATAAAATCATTCTCAGATAAATGAGAAATAAAAGAATTTGCAGCTAGCTGGACTCTGGTGGCTCATGCCTCCAATCCCAGCTACTTGAAGACTGAGATTGAGAAGATCAAGTAGAGACCAGCTGGCGCAATAGTTTGTGAGATCCCCTATCTCCAAAAATAACCAGAGCAAAATGGACAGGAAGTGTGGCTCAACTGGTACAGCACTTGCTTTGCAAGCTTGAAGCCCTGAGTTCAGATACCAGTTCCACAAAAACAGAACAAAACTAAACAACACAAACACCAACACCAACAAAAATCTCTGGAATCCAATGAAAATCTTACAGTGAGAGGGGTACAGAATGAAGGAAGAGGCTGTCAAATTTCATTAAGAAAGCAGTGTGGTGTTTGTATTGCCCACCTGCCATTGCAATTCCCCCAGCTCAGTTGTGGAGCCTGAAATCCTGGTGGACCTCGCTGGTGCTAGAGGACCACTATGGAAACTGTTCTTGATAAGTTGTGCTATTCATTTTATCTAACTGGCAGCTCCTTGAGGGATCAGTGTAAAGATCAACCTTTGTTTTACCCGAATCAGGCTGGAGCAGCATTCTTGGAGGCGCCTAACAGGATGATTTCAATTTATGTACCACCTGTAGCTTGTTGGGGCAAGACACAGGGCATTGTCTGGGAAGACCCAAAACCTAGGAAGGATGAGGTTAGAAAGGAAGATTCTTGGGGGAATAAGAACTCTTAAGGGGGCTGGGCACTGGTTGTTCATGCCTATAATTCTAGCTACTTAAGAGACAGAGGTCTTGTTAGGCAGGTACTTTTAATACTTGAGCCCCTCTGCCAGCCCTTGTAGCAAACTTTAAGATGTTAAAACACCACAAAACATGGGAAAAAAAAAAAAGAGATGAATACATATACTTTCACTAGCAGTGGATAAGATTACTAATTTTCCTACATCTTCACCAATATTAACAAAGTTATTTGATCTCTGAATTTGGTAATGAAAAATGATACCTGCATAATAAATATTAAGTGCTGATGATGTATCAGTACTTTTCTATGTACTGGGCACAAAACAGTGCCACAAAACAAAGCTCTTGCCCTCAAGGAGCTTCCAGCTCCAGGAATGAACAGGATCTGGAAGAAAACCACAGAACTTGAAATTTTGTGTGAGGGTGGTGCTAGTTAAGTGAGGTAGGCAAACCCAGGCAGGCAAGCACTCTACCACTGAACTACATCCACAGCCTCTACAAAACTTTGGACAGACAAACAAGAACTGATTAAATGAAAAGCCATGTCAGAAAGACAGCAGCTATTACAAACTCAGTATGGAACAAAATCAGAGGTTCTGGGCCAGAGCAGGAGAGACAACCTGACAAAATGTTACTTGAAATAATATATGTGAACTATAAACATCTTGAAAAAGAAAATATGAGGATATTTGCTGTACCAGAAGTTAAAATATACTATAGAAACACGGTAATTAAATCATATGGTACTGGCACAATAACAAACCAACACCAAAAACAAATGAGTTTATATATAAATGATGATGAGATTGCTTGTATATATATATATATATATATATGAGTTTTTTTATTGGGAGGTATTGGGGTTTGAACTCAGGGCCTCATGCTTGCTAGGCAGGGGCTACCACTTAAGCTACTTTGCCAGCTCAGAACAACCAAACTTACTAGTTATTTAGCATATAAATATCTGGTACGGTTGTTTCCTAGTACAGTTCTCAAGATTTATAAATGTTGCACTAAAAAAAAAAGTTTTTGGTGGTTTAGTCTGCAATTCTTTGACTTCACGGGTGTGTATCATGGATCCAGGCAGGTGTCATAAGGGTTACCCACATGCATCCTGTGTTAATATGGTGAGGGGAAAACAAAAACAAAACTCACAATGGTCATAGGGGCAAGATCAGATTACTGGGCTTAATTTTTCTGTCTCTATTATTTTATTTTATAGTAAAATAAGTAATACTTTTATAATGCAGCAGCTTATCTAGCTTGCTAGGTTTGATCCCTAGCACTGCAAAAACAAGGCTGGGCACTGGTGGCTCACACCTATAATCCTAGCTACTCAGGAGGCAGAGATCAGGAGGACTGAGGTTTGAAGCCAGCCTGGGCAAATAGCTCTCAAGACCCTATCTCAAAAAAATCCATCACAAAAAAGGGCTGGTGGAATGGGTCAAGACATAGGTCCTGAGTTCAAGTGCCAGCACTGCAAAAACAAACAAAACAAAAGCAAACCAACAAAACAGAAATCATCTTGATGTCAAATACTTCTGAAAAAAATCCATGTATATCAAAAAACAATAGGTTTTTCTACTTATTCTTTCAAGGCAGACAGAAAAGTACTCTTTTTCATGATTTGACTTATTTCTGGTGTTTTCTAAGTAGTCCTCAAAATCAGATATAGATTTACCTTGCAACTTGTGAGAATATTGTTTAATATGAAAGGTAAAGGAGCTAGGTTTAAAAATGTATCAAAAAGGCCTGAAGATGTATGGCTCAGTGGAAGAGCTCTTGCCTAACACGGGCAAGGCACCAGATTTGATCTCCGGTAGCACTGCAACAACAAGACAAAAAGCTTCCAAAGAGATTTAACAAATGTCTTCAGCACTGTACATTTTCTGAATAGCTAAATATAGGAATAGAAGCACTTCTATCTTTTTCAATTGAGAGTCAAGGACCAAAATGTACTTCTTAGCTACATGATAAACGGGCTACGAAAAACTAAGTCAGGTGTGATGGCACATACTTATAATTCCAGCTTCCCAGCACTTGGGCAGCCGAGGCAGGAGGATCTCATGTTTGAGGCCAGGCTGGTTTACATAACAAGTTCTAGGCTAGCCTTTACTACATAGGGAGACCCAATCTCAAACAGCAAAGAAAAACAAACTATAAAATACTTTTTTATAACAGGAGCAAGTTTAGATTTTTACATTCGTAAAATATTCAATTAAGTACACTGAAAAAATGCAAAAGACAAATCTCCAAATACTATTGTGCCAATGCTGTTGACTGATCAGTATTAGAAAAAACAAAACAAAAAAACCCAGGAGTTAATTTTTCTTTCATGAAGTTTTTAATAAGCTACTGTTTTTTACATATATACTAGTAATTGTAAAAAGACAAATGCTTGCTACCAAAATTTAAATACTGTACAATTTGTGAAAAATATAAAATTCTGCTTTTAAAGACATTTAACCAGGAAATGGGAAATTTCTAAAATGTTTAAGTGAACACTAAAAACTTTTACTAAAGTCAGAAAGTTTACTATTTTAATTCAAGCCTTTATCTACATAGCTTTAAATAAACCTTAAAAAACATTTTCCAGTACATATAAGGCTGCTAAAAAGAGTACATGATGGGGAAAAAAGAACTGTGCTAGAATGTGGACTCCTGAAGAACAGGGATACACTTCTTTTATTTTTATATCCCTGATTCATAGTATGATGCCTGGCTCAAAGCAAGCATTTTCTTGCTTTGAATTGAATTGGGAGAAATAAAATTTGGTCCAGTTTTTGCTCCATTTTAAGCTCTGTATCTGAACTACCTGGGCTGCTCTTGGTTCTGGCCTTTGACTTTAAGATGGCTAAGGTAAGCCAATATACATTTTCTGGACATTTGTTCTTTTTTCTTTTCTTTTTTGGCAGTACTGGGCTTTGAACTCAGGGCCTCATACTTGCTAGGGAGTTGATGTACCATTTGAGCTACTCCACCAGTCCCCAATATACATTTTCTATATCGAGCTTCTGATAGGATTCTCAGGTCCAAATTGTCACTGAGGTGTGACTTTTTTCTTATGTGGTCTGATTCTTATTGTCTCAGGTCACAGTTAACATTAATGTGAAAATGCATTTTTCAATGCAAGATAAATATGTTCACAGGAATGAGAGGAATAAAAGTCTAATTTTTTCCTATTTTAAATAACAGACACATAGCATCTTAAATTATTACATAATTAGCATTTTTTAGACATTGAACATAATACACTGTATTATAATGCAATATGGTAGGTTTCCATTTTTGGAAAAAAATAAATTTCACATGAAAGAAATTTATTTTAATTCACATAAAATACATTTAGAATAAATCTAAATTTTGAGTATTGAAGTATTAGAAACAGAGAGGCTTTAAGAAGTGTAAGTCTCCATTCTGTCCAAAACACATACAAAAAAGCTTTTACAATTATTGATCATCACCTCGTTGCCTTAAATTTCTAGATTTTCCATTTTCAATTCTTCTCTTTTTGAAGACTGGGGCCACTCCATCTGCTGCAACTCCAAGAGAAGTGACTGTTTTTTCTTTAAATACCACTTTTGTTTTCACAATATCAGCTTCTGAAGTTGCTACATACTCATTTTCAGTGCTTGGAAGTTCCAAATCTACTTCCTCACTGGAACAGAAAACAAAGATAAAATCATTATTTGATAGAGTAAGACAAAATATTCCTGTGTAACTCACCAGCCACTGAAGCCCAAGATCACCTTTCTAATGATAATGTATAAATTTAGAAAGTGGTCATTTTAGAATAGTAAGCTTTTTTAAAATACTGATCTTATGATTTTGAGACTTTGAGCTCTTGGTAAGGTAGACACATGTTAGATAAAGTCTCATTCTTTTATTTCTGTTGCACAAAGGATACATCATCTCAGAAAAATGCTTGTGTTTATATATGATAAGCAGTATAATTAGATAGATAATTTTTCCATGGTCTGACAAGGACTCTGAAGCCTTACCTAACACAAGACGAAAACCATGGAATCTCATTGTCATAGTGCATGTCAATGTTCAATGCTATTCAATGTTTGCCTAACATCTCTTTTCTAAACTTAAATCATCTACATGCTTAGATGATGCTTAATCAATTGACTGGCCCTGCTATCAGTACCAGGTTAACTTGAGGCTATCATGGTATCCTATTGTCTAGACAGTCAATTATGAAAGAACAAGTCATATTACACTCATCAATCCCATCCATGAGATTTTTTAAACATAGAGCAGAAAGATCATTATGTTTAATTCTTTCTCTAGTGGCTGAGAATATATGTGGTTGGAAGCTACATATCATCTATTTGGAGAAAGGTGTTCTGAAAGGTAAAGAATTAAGCTGGTTTGCAGAGAAAACCAGAGATGGGAGATGAAGAATTTGTTGTGAAACCACATGCTTTCTAGGACTTTTCTTAGTTATGTTAAAAATATACAATGACTGCCATTTTTGTTTGTTTTACTTTTCTGTTTTCCCTTCAACTGCCAGCAATGGTTGGTGCTTTGTTTTTGGCAGTACTGGGGTTTGAACTCAGGGCCTCATGCTTGGTAGGCAAGTTCTCTACCACTTTGAACTACTACGCCAGCTCTGTTTTGTGTTCGGTATTTTCGAGATAGGGTCTCTTGAACTATTTCCCTGGGACTGGCTTCGAACTGTGATCCTCCTGATCTCTGCCTCCCAAGTTGCTAGGATTATAGCTGTGAGCCACCAGAGCCCAGTCATATCTGGCTTTTTAATTCTTCACCTTTAATTCTTATTTTCTAAAAGAGGAAACTGAGGCTTAGAGAGAAATTAAATGACTTGGTCAAACCAAACTGTTATGTACAAAGGTTGAAAAAAATGTTATTCTGTATAACACTTGAGGAAAGAATGGCAGAGTTACTCAAGTGGTAGAGCACCTGCCTAGCAAGCATGAGGCCCTGAGTTCAAATCCCAGTGCCTTCCCAAAACAAGACAAAACAAAACAAAACAAACAAAAGTTGGAGAGGCAGGCGCCAGTGGCTCATGCCTGTAATCTTAGCTACTCAGGAGGCAGAGATCAGGAGGATTGTGGTTATAGGTCAGCCTAGGCAAAATGAAAGCAAGACCCTATCGCAAAAATGCCCAACACAAAAAAGGGCTGACAGAGTGGCTCAAGTGCCAGAACTCCTGCCTAGCAAGTGTGAAGCTCTGTTCAAACACTAGTACTGAAAAAAAAAAATCCAAAAACCTAAAAACTTGAGAAATAAACAGTAAGTCATAATGCTTTAACATTTCCTTAAGGACTAAGAAGGGGATATATTGACAAATACAAAAATAAATTTTAACCTTTGAGAAAAATCAAACAAAAGTGAAATAAACCACTTTTTGTCAAACTAGAAAATATTTAAGGCTGTCAGTGTGGCTCAAGTGGTAAGGCACCTGTCTTGTATGAGGCCGGTAGTAGTACCTATCTCAAAAACACAAAAAACGGGCTGGCAGAGTGGCTCAAATGGTACAGTACCTGCCTAGCAAGTGTGAGGTCCTGAGTTCAAACCTTAGTACTGCCAAAAAAAAAAAGTTAAAAAAAAAATTTAAAAGCTCAGTAATAATTAATGATTACAGGGAGTGTCCAATGGGATAGGAACTTTCAGAAACTGCTGATGAAATTCACAGTTGGCTTGCTTTCTGAAAAGTAATCAGGCACTGTGTATTAAGATTTTAAGCTTGACATGGTGTTACAGACCTATAATCCTAGCACTTGGGTGGCAGAGACAGGAGGCTTGAGAGTTCAAGTCAGTCAGGCTACCAGAACAAAACAAACCCAGTGTAAAATATTTATAATTTTTAAACAGGTAATCCACTTTTAGAAATAGTCAGAAATATACACAGAAAAAGACATAATAATCAGAGTTCATTATAAAAAGAAGTATATGAAATAAATGTCCAGCAAAGAGAGTAGCTGAGTAAAATCAAGGTATATCTGAAAGATGAAATATTATATAGCCATTAGAAGTAATGTATACTAAATTTTATCATAACAGGAAAATATTAATAGTGTAAAATGGAAAATTAAAAAGACTGGGAGAAACACTTCAAATAGTTAGTATTATTGCTGGGTATCTGAATAATGAAGTCATTTTATAATTCTTTTCCAAAAATATTTTATAATATGTATAAGTATATATTTTAATCCTTAGGGGGTATATCCCTTAAGAAGCTATGTGAATCTATTATGAAATTGGACATAATCCATCATATATTAAATTGTCTGATGAGGCTAAAATTTATTAAGAATGGCTACATAGTGTATTTATCACAAGGATTACAAAAAGAAATCTCAATTTTTTTAGTTACTTATTTTTTTGTGGTACTGTGATTTAAATTCTTGGCTTCAAGCTTGCAAAACAGGCACTCTACTGCTTGGGCTACACCTCCCATCCATTTTGCTTTGGCTATTTTGGAGATGGGGTCTCTTGAATTATTTGCCCAGGCTGATCTCACATTGTGATCCTTCCAATCTCAGCCTCCCAAATAGCAAGGATTACAGGCATAGCTACATTATATCATACTTAGGGAATTAATTCTAAATTGATTGGTATTTAGAGCTGTTCAACACTTTTATTACTCTATGGTATGAAAAAAATGATCTTTTCATTAAAGGACAGTTTTCTTTCTTTCTGTTTTTTGGTTTTTTTTTTTTCCTTTTTCTTTTTTGGTATTGGGGTTTGAACTCAGGGTCTCACACTCGCTAGGCAGGCACTCTACCACTTGAGCCACCCCTCAGCCCCAGCCTAAGAACACTTTTAATAATAATTCATCACTGTAAAAGTATACACAAAGCAGACATCTTTGTCTGAAAGCATTAATACTTTGAAGAGTAACTGCTTTTCTCATGTAGATACTTTTTTTTCCCACCTGAAGATTTCTTAAAGCATTAAAGAAACACTGGAATGTGACACCAGAAGTAACATCTTCCTGTTATGGTATAAATGTTCCTAAGAGATTTGAACAAGTAAGTTAATAATATAAATCAGATAACACCTTTCCTTTGATTTTGTTTAACTGATAACAAACTCATGTTTTTAAAAAATTTTTGAATACCAGCTTAAAAACTGAAGTGTACAAGCCACTTCCAAGAGAATAACAAAGCAAAGCTTCTATTGGAAGATGCAGATTTTGTTTCTTGGGTAGAATAATGATGGTGAGTATAAGAATGTACATGAGTATGTGAATACAGTCAACAGAAATGCCATGTTTTGTCAGGAACTAAAACAATTCTAAGCTTACTTTAAAAAGAAATGAGCTATACTTTTAATGAGCACAGCATCCTTGAAATTAGTGTCTGCAATTTATGGGAGAACTGGGATGTACAATATTTGTAGTAGCATTGGGATTAAAGTTTCAAGTACTTACTGAGACTCAACCTCTTGTTTAATTTCTTGCCACTCTCCATATGGGTTTGGTTTTTTAAGGGTTTTAGGTTTTTCTTCGTTTGGACCTGGTGAATTCTGTTTTTGTATACATTTTTCTTTCTGTATTTCTGGGTCAGTTCTTTCATCACTATTTTTATTTTTTTCCTGAAATGTAAAAGTCAATAACACACTTCAAGCACAACTACCAGGATGAAAACAAAATTTAACTTCTTTAAAAAATCATGTTACAGATTTATAAATAGTACATTAAATCACTTAATAGCTTAAATTTGCACATGACACAAAAAATGTACATGGAAGAACTTTAATGCTTGATCAAGTTTTTTATCATGTCCAGAACTTTAATACATTATGTTCAATGTTGTTCTTTAAAATAATATAACATGATCCCTATTAGTATCATCAGTTCTACAATTAATGACACGTAAATTGGCCTTTTTTATTCTCTTTTCTGTTTTCTCACCTAACATACATATCTAATAACGACCTCTCTTTATATTGTGCCCCTTTTGAACTTAATATCATGTCATCAGAATCTTCTATATCTATTATCTATTTAAATAACTCCTCCAACATATAGAAGTCTTTACTGAACTCCATGTTCACTTTCAGGACACTGCCAGAGCCTCACTGACCTATACAATTAGCAATTCTGTGCAAATTAGAAAAAGATTCCTTCGGTGTAAAAGTAGCCCCCACCTGTAGAAGCCCCTGGATAGCATCCCTTTACCTGGGATAACAAAGCCCTTTAATCCAGTCCAGCAAGTACATCACGCACTGGATTTAAGCCTCTTTGCAAACCGTACATCCATGGTTGGCCTGCCTGGGATACTGTTTCCTCTGTAATTCACTGAATGGATGTTAACTCATCTCCTCAAGAGGCTGGTATTACATGACTAGGGGGTAGTTTCCAGTTGTGACCATGACTTTCTCTCTTTTTTTAGGGGGGATGGAGTGGTGCGGGTAGCAGTTCTGGGGTTTGAATTCAGAGCCTCGTGTGTGCTAGACAAGTGCTCTTGAGCCATGGCCCCAGCCAGTTTTGTTTTTGCTTATTTTTCAGTAGGCTTACATGCTTTTGCCAGGGCTAGCCTTGAACCTCAATCCTCCTATCTCTACCTCCCACACAGCTGGGATTAGAGGTACGCACCTCCATGCCCAGTCCACAAATTTTTTAATAAAACATTTTTACTGAGGTTTAAGAAGTTAAGACAGTTTATACTTTTTTTTTTTTTGGTGGTACTGGGGTTTGAACTCAGGACTTCACACTTGTGAGGCTGGCACTCTACTGCTTGAGCACTCTGCTAGCTACTTTGATTCTTATGCAACAAAGATCTCCTTTGAGGATCACATCATGTTCTATACTATTTTCTTCCATTCTTCCTTATATCATCTACTGACCTCTGGCTACTACTCTATACTCACTAATGACTTTAGCAAGTCTGGCAGCATTTTCTATTTAAACTCCTATTGTCATCCTAGTACCTTAAAGATCTTTAGCCCTCTTGTGATCCTCAAAACCAATGACTTCGTCCTTCGCTATGTTTCAACACCTATTATTAAATCTTTTTCCTTACAGATAGCACTTGGCACATAGACGGTAGTAAAATACAAAACCTTACTTCTACTGTACCTTCCATCCAACCCCATCTCTTAATAATTCTCTTTGTGTTCTGAGTTTGTTGGTCTCCTCTAGACTTCTTGCAAGCAGCTATGCTCACCACTATTAATAACACATTATGTCCTTTAGAATCTCAAACCCACAGGGAATCACTTTAAACATTCCTTTACTAGTACCCTACTAGTCTTTGCTCCTACGCTTGTCTACTGCAACACAGATCTACCCAATCATTTGTCCCTCTGCTTTTAAACTTGATCTGTCAAGCTACCAAAAAAAAAAAAAAAGGAAAAAAAAAATCATAGCAGGAGCTTCCACACTGCTTAGTAATTTGTCTCCAATTGTGTCTATTCCCAGTTCTCTTAGTGCTTATTCCAAACAAATATTCTGCTATATAGGGCTGATTAAGTAATGGTACATTCATACCATGCACTATTATGTAACCGTTATTATGGCAGATAAAGGTTTATACCTCAGTGGCACAGTGTGTGCTTAGCGTGCCCAAGGCACTGGTTTAACCCCCCTCCCAAATTTGAGTGCCTGAATAAAAAAAAGTTACAGAACAATAAACACAAGGTGATTCTAGCGATTTTTACTCGGAGGAGGCAGGATTAAAAGTAGTTTGTTGTTTATCTGTATTTTGCAATTTTTTTCAACGAACACATGAATTTTGATAAGCGAAATTAATAAATTTCTATCCTAGGCTTGATAATGAGTTACCTAAATTTGACTATGAATATTGTTAGCTGGCTACTACACCATGGGCTTTATTGTTGCCTCTCTACAAAGTAGATATATCTTTCATCTAGGTCCTATTAAGATTTATGGAGTAGGTAGAAAAACAATGACAAGATCTTAGGTGTGGCCTGGGAATAGCTGCTGTCTAGAATCCTTGATGTTTCTACATTTCTCAGGCCAGCAATCCTCAATCATGGATCAATGCTATGATGTGTCTTCTTTGCTTTGTTACTTGGGTTCCTGAAGGTCACAAAACCAGTACATCTACCAATACCGTAAAAACATCTGTTTTTATGCTGAGCACACTGCACTATCTACTGTCCTCTTGCTTGGTTCATTTCCTCTCCCACTCTAGTTCAGTGATGATTTTAACCCATAAGTGTTGCCAAAACTCAGCAAGCACTGTTAATATCCACCCCACCTTTTATTTGGGGAGAGAAGGAAGGGTTAGAGACAGGATCTTCCTGTGTAGCTCACCCTGGACTCAAACTTGCTATCCTCCTGCCTCAGTCTCCTGAGTGTTGGGAGTATAGGTGTGAGCTGGCACATCTAGCCAATATTGTTTGAGAATGAGAAACTGAGGGTAAAAGGCATGACTTTCAATTTTCTCTCTGATATCCACTCATTTACAGTCATACATTCCTACAGAAAATGAAAACTTTACCTTACAGGCAAGTTTATTTCTTGTCTAGACTAACTTATCCAACTGTTCTTGTCAGCATTCTCTTCTTTTTCCTATGAAGTTCATCTCCACAAAATCTATCATTAAGAATCAATACCAGGGTGGGGGCAGGGAGGAGAAATGACCCAAGCATTGTATGCACATATGAATTATAAAAAAATTAAAAAAAAAAAATCAATACCAAGCCACTATACTATCATCTAACTTGTTTTTTCTTTTTCTTTTTGAGACAGGGTCTCACTATACAGTGCAGGCTGGCCTTGAACTCATAATTCTGCCTTAGCCTCCCAAGTACTGAGATTACAGGTGTGTACCATTAAACTCAGCTTCCATTTTTAATTTTATAGCCAAGCCATACCTACACTGTAAATCATTTTTCACCCCCTATAATCTGGCTTTGACCACCCAAAAATCTAGGATTTCATAACTGCCAAATTTAGTGGACAAATTTTTTTTTCTGAGTTAATTAATCTTTGATATAGTTTACTCTCATTTGCCTTCCTAGACATGAAATTCTTTTGCTTTTCTGCATACCCTCCTATCATTCTTCCTCCTTCTGTCTTGGGGGCTCTTCTTTCTCTGCCTTCTAATTAAATGTAATTAAATATTTAATGTTCCCCCATAGTTCCTTAAGGTTATTCTCCTAGGTTATCTCACCTGTTCCGAGAATTTAAACCATTAGTGTGCTGAAGATATAAACTACTACTTCTAGTGTTGATAGGCAGAGTGACCTCGTCAGACAGCTCTCTGAATGTTAGAGGATCCTCAAACAAAGAAGTCTAAAATGAACTTTGTCTTGCTCTCAAATTGTATCAGTAAATGATAAACCCTTTATCCAAATGCCAAAATACAGTACCCTTCTCCCTGCCTTGTCTTTTATTCTAAGATACCCAGTAGAGGCCTGAAGTGATGAACAGTACTAAACCCTTTCCTACAGTAAAGTTTAATTTATAAATTAGGCACAGTAAGATTTACAATATATTGTAATAAAAGAGTTCAACATGCCACTTAGAATGGCATACAATTAAAAACTTGTAAATTATTGTTTCTGGGATTTTTCCATTTAATATTTTCAGACCTTGGTTGACCAAGGCATAACTGAAAACATGTAAAGCAAAATTGAGTATGGGGTAGAAAAACAAATGTATCTTGGCTTTATTTCTACCTTATGCCAGAAGACTGAAAAAGGACTATGTATTCTTTTTTTAACAAACTGATAACTTATGTAAAAAGTAAATCAAGAACCTACCTTAAACTTTATTTTTAGCTTTTCTCTTTCTGCAGAGATATCTCCTTCTGCTTCCTGTTCCCCACTGGAATCACTAAGTGAATCTGAAGATTTGGATTCTTCTAGGGTGTCAAGTGACTTTTCATTGGTCTTACTAGAAAGCACATCACCAGTATGTGGAATGAAATCATCAGGTTTTTCCCATTTGGATTCTGCTCAACAGATTTTAATGGTAATGTTATTCAGTTAGCAATTCTACTCAGAACTAATTTCTATATAACACTTTCTATCTTTTACAAGTATTAATTGATACCTATTTTACAGTACTATTTGATGAAGAAGGTAAGTAAGAATTCTCAAACTTCTTATTTTCATGCCTTTAGGAAACCAATTTCAAGGGCTTAGGAGCATGGCTCAAGTGGTAGGGTGCCTGCCTCTCAATTGTGAGGCTCTATGTTCAAATTCCAATACCCCCAAAACCAACCAAACAAGCCAAAAAACACCCCACAAAAAACCAAACAGAAAATCAGAAATTGATTTTAAACACCTTGAATTTTGTTTTGAATTTTTTAACTTTAATGAACTCCAATTTATGAAACTATTGTAAATAATTTCAGCTTTTGTTTCTTTTATTTATTTTTATTATTGTACTGGGGATACACTGTGACATTTACAAGAGTTCATACAATATATTATAGTTCACCTTCTTGAACACCTTGAATTTACTAAATGAATAAACTACAACTCCAGTGGGAAGAGTGACTTGAGAATGGGTGATAATTTTTTTTTTTTTTCATTTTTCTTTTATTATTCATATGTGCATACAAGGCTTGGTTCATTTCTCCCCCCTGCCCCCACCCCCTCCCTTACCACCCACTCCGCCCCCTCCCGCTCCCCCCCTCAATACCCAGCAGAAACTATTTTGCCCTTATCTCTAATTTTGTTGTAGAGAGAGTATAAGCAATAATAGGAAGGAACAAGGGGTTTTGCTGGTTGAGATAAGGATAGCTATACAGGGCATTGACTCACATTGATTTCCTGTGTGTGGGTGTTACCTTCTAGGTTAATTCTTTTTGATCTAACCTTTTCTCTAGTTCCTGGTCCCCTTTTCCTATTGGCCTCAGTTGCTTTAAGGTATCTGCTTTAGTTTCTCTGCGTTAAGGGCAACAAATGCTAGCTAGTTTTTTAGGTGTCTTACCTATCCTCACCCCTCCCTTGTGTGCTCTCGCTTTTATCATGTGCTCATAGTCCAATCCCCTTGTTGTGTTTGCCCTTGATCTAATGTCCACATATGAGGGAGAACATACGATTTTTGTATTGGGGTTTGTACTCAGGGTAACACATTTACTAGGCAGGAGTGTCCACTGCTTGAGTCACTCTGCCAGCCATTTTTTTGTCTTGGGTATTTTTGAGATAGGGTCTCTCAAACTATTTGCCTGGGCTAGCTAGGATTGTGATCCTCCTGATGATTTAAATGAATTCAATTTACTGTTTTTATAAGTTGAGGGAAGTTTTGATTGAATTCTACTGCCATCAAGTGGTTCATTGGGCTTTTAGTAAAATGAAATCATTTTACTAAATGTAGTGTAGTTATTCTCCTTTTAGTTTAATAAACAACTGCAATTTTTTGTACAACTAAGACAGATTTAAGAGTGAAAAGGGCTGCTGTTAATTTCACTTAAGGTAGGTATCAACCAAGCTCATTCAGAGAAATATATAAAGTCCCAAAATTAATATATGTAGGCAACTAATGAAAAACATTACTTTCCCCTAAATATATTTCACACAAGTAACAAAAAGAGCTTCCAAGATATAAATAATTAGGGCTGGCAGAGTAGCTTAAGCGGTAGAGTGCCGGCCTAGCAAGCAAGAGGTCCTGAGTTCAAACCCTACTACCTCCATAGAAAAAGATATAAATTATTTATTAAGTGCCTACCATATGCCAGGTATGGTATGGCATCTGAGAACTTATAGATATCTGACCCTCAGGACCCAAACAGTACATGTTGACTGTCTCTTTTCACTGAAGAGTGAGTATATGCTCAGAGACTTTACTGGTATGAGAAGAAGATGTGCACTGAGCTTAGATCTAATTTAGGTCTAATTCTAAACCCTATTACATCACAACATTATTTTATCTCTATAAAGATTCAGTACTTTAATTTTACTAGGATAGAAACACTGCTGTCATTGGGCAAGCTAGGTATCTGCCTGGAGGCTAAAAGGCCTCCAAATCTTTCTCCCTGAAAGATTTAATGCTATGTAAAGGGCTTTGTATAGTAAGAATAAAAACAAACAAAAAACCCTACCTCTCCCAAGTTACATCAGTACTGTAGCTATTCTGGTAAATTTAACTGCAGTGGGAAACCAAGCACAGTTACTTGAAGACTAGTTTCATGAAATTAGATAAAATACTCATACGCAAAATACAATAATCAGATACTATGCATGCTTTACATATACTTATATAAAAAACATTAAATCAGGCAAGGAGAAGATCTGACAATTCAGTCACTACTAAAATAGCTTCAGTTTTATTTTTTAAATAAGAAAAAAGGAGCTGCATGAGTGGCACAGGAGGCTGAGGCAGGCGGACTGTGAGTTCCAGGCCAACCTGGGCTACACAGTAAGACTCTGTTTCAACCCACTTTTCTCACCATCCCCCCACCCCCCCCAAAAAAAAAAAAAGGGAAAAGAAAGTTGGGGAGCTAGGGATGTAGTTCAATGAGAGTACCTGCCTAACATTTGTGAAGCCCTGGGTTCGATCATTAACATGGGGAAAAAAGGTCAAAGGAAATGACTGTATTTCTAAAATTATTATTTAAAAAAACCCAGTAATTTGCTGGCAGAGTAGCTCAAGAGATAGAGCACCTGCCTAGCAAGCGTGAGGCCAAGGTCGAACCCCAGTGCCGCCAAAAAAAAAAAAAAAACCAAAAACCAAAAACTAAAAACCCAGTAGTTTTAGGGAAAGCCGAAGATTCTCTTTTTTAAGTTTGCAAATGCTTTATCAATTGAGAATAACACTAATAATAGACAGAAGTCTTTTTGCTTTTCCACTTTTTTTTTTTTTTTGGTGGGACTGCAGTTAAACTCAGGGCTTTGCACTTGCAAAGCATGTGCTCCACTATGTGAGGTACAACTCCAGTCCATTTTGCTCTGGTTATCTTGGAGAATGGGGTAAATTATGCCCTGGCTGGCCTCAAACCATGATCCTCCTGATTTCAGTCTCCCAAGTAGCTAGGATTACAGCTGTGAGGCATCAGTGCCCAGTTGGAAATGTTTATATGGAAGTTTGAAAGTTCAGATGATTTACCAGCATGCCAATAAGCAGTTGAGAACGTCAAGATAATCCAAGGTAACACTTACCTCCTGTTTCTGTGTTATAGTAATAGCTATAGCCATCTTCACTTAAACCTTCTACCCAAATGGCATTCACAGCTGACTAATAGGAGGGGGAAAAAAAAAACCAAACCACAATTAATTGAAAATAGTGTTGATGACTACACTTTGAATTTAAGACAAATTTAGCCACCCTTTCTTTTCCACCTGACGCCTGAAAGATTAGGGGTGGTGATATAGACCATGGCCAGGCAGCCTGGCTTTTGCTAATTGTGTACCAACTCTCAAGCAGAGAATGTCTCACCTCTGAGCCAGGAATTCCTTCCAGGTGGTCAAGCACATGTGGGTAACAAATGATTGCAAACCAACTAATATTTACCCTACACGGGGTTTTGGACATAATCCCAGTTTCATCTCCACCCAGCCTTCTAACAAAAGGATCATAGGAAAAAAGGAATGAAGTTGGGAGAGTGGGGAAAGGCTTATTTGGAAGTAAATTTTTTTAACAAAACACTAAAAAATCCCCATAAGTCAATCACTTTAAAGAATAAAGCAAAAATACTATGAATGTTCTTCAGTTACCTTTTTTAAGTTTCCTTGAAATCCTTCAGGTTTCTCCCACTGAGATGCTTAAAGCAAATAATATTACATTAATAAAATCTTTTTGCTTAAAAAAAAAAACACTCCAAAATTTAATTTGGCAAAAATTGTATAAAACACTATAGAAATAGTTTAAGACATAATTGAAAAATGAAAGAAGCAACATATACATCCCAGCAATATTACGCAGAAGAATACAAGTGAATGCTATGCAACCAAGGAGCAATGACAAAATGAAGAAACAGAAGTTACTGGGACTTCCACAGGAATTACTAGAGCCATGAAGAGCTTCTCTTAAAGACTTCATGGAATGGAAGTTTATTTATCGCAGAATTATATAGAGTAAAAAAATCCCAGTTATCAGTTTTAAGGAAACAAAAAGATGGCTTTGATATTCCTGCTGAAAAACACCATTGTTTACTTTATTAAAACTGATATGACACTAACATGAAGGGGAAACTTTATCAATCAAGACAGCTATATAAAGGGCTAATGGAGTTGCTCAAGTGGTAGAGAGCCTGCCTTGCAAGTGTCAGACCCTGAGTTCAAACCCCACGACTGCCAAAAAAAAAAAAAAAATAGTAATAAAGAAAGACAGCTACATAAAAAAGAAATCAGTTTCTGAGGTAGGTGTGTTCGTGCACAACTCCAATCCCAGCACTCAGAAGGATGAGGAGTTTGAGGCCAGCATGGGCAACAAAGTAAGACTTGTCTCAAAACCAAAACCAAATTAAAAAACAAAACAAACAAAAAAGCAGTTTCTGACTCCCAGACTGCTTCTGGAGAGAAAAATCTCTTTCACAAGGCATTTTATTTCAAGGATCCTAATTTATGAAGTGAATTTGAAAAATCTTATTTCAAGTTGGGTGTGGTGTTTCATGCCTGTAATCCCAGCACTTGGGAAGTGGAGACAGGAGGAGCCTGAGTTTGAGGTCTGTCTGAGCCATATAGTATGTTATCAGGACAGCCTGGGCCATATGAGACCTTGTCTCAAAAATAAAAAAACAAAGTCTTATTTTTATATAAAATGTTTTATTAGTAGTACTACTACTGAAAGTAGTTCATATTTTTAGATTTTATTGGGAATATATGTAGCTTTATCTTGTAAGAAACCCATTAATAAGATTTTAAAGATTGACAGAGTTATGATAAGGACACTTTTTTAAAAAGGGCAAATAATTATTTAAACTTTGTGGCAAAAATAAAAATTAATAGCTTTTCATTGCTTAACATGTTCCAATATTAAATAAGAACCAACACAACATCAGCTGTTCTGTTCTTCTAATGGAACTATTCTCTACTAGCTTTATGCACAAATGACTTACCTCCTGTGATAAGATCATAATAGTAATGGTAACCCTCAGAAGTTAGGCCTTCTACCCATCTACCCTTTGAAGGATCTTTTTTTTTCTTCTTCTTTTCTTTGTGTTGACTTGATGCAGAGGTGGGTGGTATAGTAGTAGTTATTGGTGATATGCTTGGCTCTGGAATTTCTAGAAAAAAAATGAGAGAAAGGTAAAGTAGTCAAAATAATGTCACTTTTTTTTTTTTTGCTGTCACAAAATTTTAAAAATATTATTGCTGTCAAAAGCCTGATGAAATCTAATACAGTAAGTGCACAACTGTAGTAACAGGTACTTGGCAGGCTGAGGCGGCATAATCATGAGTTTGAGGTCAGCTTGAGCAACAAAGTGAGATCCTATTTTTTTTGCTTTTGGTGGCACTGGGATTTGAACTCAAGGTTTCGAGCTCACAAAGCAAGTACTCTACCCCTTGAGCTACACCTCTAGCCCAGCTTTATTTAAGAAAAAAACCTGGGACTGACGGAATGGCTCAACAGGTAGAGTACTCATCTAGCAACCAGGAAGCCCTGAGTTCAAACTCCACTACCTTTTTATTTTATTTATTTTTGCCTGGAGCTGGCTTATACCATGATCCTCCTACCTACCAGATAGGGTTTCACTAACTTTTTGCTCAGCCAGGCCTGGAACTGAGATCCTCTTGAACTCTACCTCATGCATAGCTGGTATTACAGGCAAGAAACACCATGCCTAACCCTTATAAATTTTTAAAAGCACTTTTGTTTGAACTGTACTGTTGTAATTTTAAAGAAATATATATCCCATTTAGGAAAATGAGGCTATGAAAAATGCTTTATAAAATCATTTAAATGTAAAAAATATAAAAAGATTTACTTCTTTTTTTTGGCAGCACTGGGATTTTGAACTCAGGGCTTCACACTTGCCAGGCAGGAAGTCTACCACCACAGTCACTCCACCAGTTTTTTGTGATAGGGTCTCACAAACTATTTGCCTGGCCTGGCTTGATCCTCCTGATCTCTGCTTCCTGAGTAGCTAGGATTACAGGCATGAGCCACAGGCACCTGGCTAAGATTTACTTTCAAAGGGCAGCATAATAAAATTTCTCAATTCATATAATTGAAGAGATAGCTTTTCAACTATCACACGTTAATTCTCCACAAACATAATTTTTCCTATCAAAATGCTTTATCTTCATGGAACACCCCCCTTCCCAAACCCTTAACTACCAATATACAGAATTTTGTTTTCTTTCTGCAGTACTGGAGTTTGAACTCATGGCCTACACCTTGAGCCACTCCACCAGTCCTTTTTTTGTGATGGGTTTTTTTGAGATAGGTAGGGTCTCAGGAACTATTTGCATAGGCTGCCTTTGAACTGTGATCCTGATTTATGCCTTCTGAGTAGCTAGGATTATAGAAGTGAGCCACCAGTGCCTGGCTTCAAAGCTGTTTTTATTAGAGATTACAGAATACCATTCCACTTTGACTATTCCAACTATGAAGTATCAACTACTGAGATCTACTGTATGCTTGGATTAGAGACAATGGATTTGTCGTGGAAAAGACAGTCACAGAAACTTCCCAGTTTACAGCCTACATTTAATGACAAGACATAGATCTGAGTTAATGTCTTTTACCTGGAACTCTGTTACCTTCAAACCCTCAAAATAATCTACCACCTAGTAGTTAAGTCAGTTAATTTGTTCACAAAAGGCTAATTTGCTATATATTCAACCATATAAATAAGATACAATTCAGTTGGGCCAAATGGATAAAATCAAATATAATTATAGTGCAAGTTTTTTTTTTTTTTTGGGCGGGACTGGGGTTTGAACTCAGGGCTTCATGTTTATAAATCATGTGCTTTATTGCTTGAGGCACACCTCCAGTCCGTTTTTCTCTGGTTATTTGGAGATGGGGTTCTCAACTATCTGGGCTGGCCTTGAATCTTGGTCCTCCCGATCTCAGCCTCCTAGAAGCTAGCATTACAGGTGTGAGTCACCAGCCAACAAAGCTTATTTTTTAATGAACGATGTCTTTAGCTGAATAAGAATACCTAAAAATAAAAATCTCAAGGTGTTCAAAAATGAACCACTCAGCTAGGTCAGAAGTAGGACTAGGTAACTGCATAGGTAGTATGGTTGACATGAATGAAGGTATTAATAAAGAAGCAGCATTAATAGCTAACCAAACTGGAGGTGAGGCTGAAGTGGTAGAGTACCTGCCCAGCAAGTGTGAGGCCCTGAGTCCAAACCCCAGTACCACCAAAAAAAGAAAAAAAGAAGGGCTGACTCAAAGGATGCCTGCCTAGTAAGCATGACGCCCTGAGTTCAAACCCCAGTGCTGCCAAAAAAAAAAAAAAAAAAAAAGAAGCAAACCAAGCTAGGAATAGTGGGCAATGCCTATAATCCCAGCATTCAGGAGGCTAAAGCAGGAGGATTCCCTGGGCTAACAGGGAGATCCTGTTTCATCAACAACAAAGCAAAAACACAAAAAAACCCAGAACAACAACAACAAAAACTAAAAAGCATGAGCCAAACCCTGTAGTCTAAATAGGGCTATGATACATAATAAAAGCACTAAGAAGCCAAGCGTGGTAGTGCACACCTCTAATTCAAGCACTTGGGTGTTAAGGCAGTAGAATTAGGAGTTTAAAGCCAGCCTGGGCTATAGAGTGAGATTCTAGCTACTTAGAAGCTGAAAATCAGAAAGATTTTGATTTGAGGCCAGCCTGGCAAAAAGTTTGTGCAGTGGTGTGTGCCTGTCACCCCAAGCTATGCAGGAGGCTCAGACTGGGAAGACTGTGGTTTGAGGACAGTCCAGGCAAAATAGTTCATGAGACCCTCCTCCACGCCCCCCAATCTCGGTGGGAAAAAAAAAAAAAAAGTTGGGTACCATGGTGTGTGCTTATCATCCCAGCGATAGTGGGAAGCATAAAATAGAAAGATTGCAAGCCAGACCTAGGCAAAAAAGCAAGACTCTGCAGAATAACCACAGCAAAAGGGTGGAGGTGTGGCTCAAGTGGTAGAGTACCTGCCTAGCAAATGCAAAGCCCCAAGTTCAAATCACGTAACTCCAAAAAACCAAGAGCAAAACAAAAATCCTGTTGAGAATATAGCTTGAGTATATAATCTCTCTTTTTAATTTTTTTTTTTTTTTTGGCAGTACTGGGGTTGAACTCAGAGCCTTGTACTTCAGGTACCCTACTTTTTGAGCCACAACCCCAGCCCTAACCTCTTTATAAGGCTCATTAGCACGACCTCTGATGATCTTTTTAAAACATGCTTGGTGCTTTTTTACCTGATTCTAAGCCAAGTCTTTTTAGATCCTCTTGGTATGCTTTCAGGGCAGCTGCCTCCATTGCAGCAAACTCCTTGGAAGCCTTTTCTTCTTCTTTTGCCTTATCCAGGCTTTTCTGTTTAATCTATGTAAGATACATATAAAAATGAAAGTGAGATAAAGGACTGAAATATATACAGAAAAATTAACAAAGAATCAATTTAATTTAAATTACCTCACTGATCCTCTTTGCCACATTTTCCTTATGATTTTTTCCTCTTTCATGAAATTCAACACTCTTGAACATGAAAATAAGAAAAATTATATATCATAAAATTCACAATAAATACAGTTAATATAGGAATGGAACATAAAGTTAAAATGATGGAAGGATAAAGCTTGATTAATTTTAATTCAAATTGGTCCTGTTATCAAATGATGCTAGGGAACTGAATCCCATCATGCTTTTTAACTAGATTTCTTTTGGTTCTTCAATAAACCAAGTGCCATATTAATGGGAGAAAAACATAAGGTATCTTTTATACTGATCTAGTGAATATGATTATATAACATGTACTCAAGATACAAAGCCCAGCATGGGAAAATTTTTGGGAGAGCAGACTGTGGTTTCTAGTCAGGATTTTGTGCTTGCAAAACAGGTGTTCTACTGTTTGAGCCATACCTCCTCTCTATTTTGATCTGGTTATTTTGAAGATGGGGTCTCAAGAACTATTTTCCTGGACTGGCCTTAAACACAATCCTCCGAATCTCAGCCTTCCAATTAGCTGGGATTATAGGCAGGAGGCACCAGTGCCCAGGTGAAAAAAAATTTTTAAGAAACAGCTCTTAACATGAAACATCAAAACCATCAAATCTCTAGAATTTTACTGTTCTATTTGCTACTTAAGATGTAACAGTATGTTTAAATCCCTAGTCCTCCAAATTTTAAGAAAAGTACACATTTAAAAATTTCTCAAGCAGGGAATAGTGGTACATGCCCATACTCCCAGCTACTCAGGAGTCAGAGATTAGAGGATTGTGTCTGAAGTCTGCAAACAAAAATCAGGAGACCTATGTGAAAAATAACTAAAGCAAAAAAAGGGCTAGAGGCATGACATACGTAGTAGAGAGGGCTTAACAAGCACAAGGCCCGGAGTTCAATTCCCTGCAATGCCAAAGGAAAAAAGTTCCTCACAGAAACACATTTTTATCTTTTGACCTAGCAATTCCATTACTGGGAACTTATTCCACAGCTGTGCCTGCACAGATAGAGAGTTATATATAAGGGTATTCACTGCAGCATTGTTTGTGCTAATCATCCCGTGTCCATCTACAGGAGATTGACTAAATGAACTATAGTAACTTCCATGGGCTTCTCTAATTGGAAAAAAATAGGTGACTTTGTGTATTGACATGGAAAGACCTTCAGGATATATTGCTCAGTTTTTAAAACCGTGGTGTAGAAAAGTATATACAGTATGTTACCTTTTTATGTATGATGGAATAAGAACCTATTGTCTGTATGTACATGGAAATGATGGAAGGATAAACAAGATAAAACAACATGGCAGAATGATGGTCACTGGATGGATGGGGACAGGGACGGGTGAGTGAGCATTCTTATCTAAACAACCAGAGTGTTTCCCTAAATTACAAGTGTCTTGTTGCAAGCAGTTAAATTCCTGGTAAGTGCTGCAAAATAAGTTCTGTCCATCAAACCAAGTGTGATGCATTAACTGAGCTATTGTAAAATATTACTAGGAATTCCACTTCAAAGTATGATTTTGTGAAGCAAATAATCATCTCTATTTCTCATATATTAGGTTTCCCAAAGTTGATTACACACAAAGATTAAAGGACTATTCAAAATTAAATTAATTGTTTCTAATTAAAGGTTAAATCAGTGTGTATTAGCAACTCAAGAGGATGAAGATAGACTTTACTGGAAGGGATTATTTACTCTCGATAACTCATAAAATTCATTTTAGTGCCTGGGTACCTCAAGGGAAAAATGACTTTCAGTGATTTGTGTGGTTTTAAAAAGTCAGGCCATTTATTGGTAAGGATAGGCTAACTAAATAAAATAGTCAAGAACTTTAGCAACTATTCAAAAAGACCAAAACAGAACAGGGAAGCCCCAATCCAAAAATATTATAGTTTTTTTTTTTTAATTGGTGGTACTGAGGCTTGAACTCAGGGCCTCACAATTTAAAATCAAGATTTATTAAGGGAATACAGCATTGTCAAAGATGGAACTGTTATTCTTTTATGCATCCACTTCTGACAAGCAATGGAATTGTAACACTTACACTAGTCTTTATGCAGTATGTACATAGTACTAGGACATGGATGAGGGGAGAAAAATCAGCAGTGTGCTTTTTATGTCCCCGATGTTGGATTTAGACTCTAAAATACAGTATTAATGTGCTTAACAGAATTGCTATTTCTGTATTTCATAAGGGATTAATGATGTTCTTTCAAATTCAAAGTCTGCATCAAACAAAAATCTACACTAATGTTCTTTTTCTACTTTTACTTTTCTTTTTATATAGCAGTATTACAAACAACACCATTGTAAGGTAGATGCTTCATAAACATGGAGGAGATTACCCACTTATTTCCTCAAAGGCCACAGAAATTACTTGGCTTGATAATCAAATTTATCTTGATAAAAAGAAGCTCACAGCTTTCATAAAGGAAAGACAGGCCAATAGGTATCTTTTTTTGTGTTCAAGAATCAAGAGCAACCTATACAAAAGTGCTTTGTAAACCGAACTTAGATCAAAAGCAGCACTTCACAGGGACACGGTATTAGTCTGACAGTAGACTCATCCATCATACAGGCCTATTGTCTGCGATCCAGCACTTGCAGTAGTCACAGAATTTCTTTGGTTGTGACTTCCAGTAGTCGGCCCTGAAAAAGGGAAAACACATTTAAGCTCAAACTTTAAAACGGTTAAAATTTTGCATGGTTTACATCTTTTTAGCGACTGAAATACAAGCGTTGGCCAGTGAATCTTCACAAAAGCTCCGTTTTAATATATGTGACTGAAGCAGTCATTGGAAATTCTGTTGCCAGTAAAGTAGAAAAAGGCCGGATTTATTATAAACCACTTTAAAATAAAGTAACTGAAGGAATAATGAACATCCCAGAAAAACATCCTTTCCGATTTTGTGGTGAATGATGCAGCAACGGAGGCCTGCAGAAACTCAGAGTTTGCTTTCAACTAAGTTATTTTCACCAAAACAACAAAGCATAAAGACGACGCTGGGGAAAGGCTCTCAGTCGATGCGACTGGTTTGAGCCTTGGGATGGGAGATGGAAAGGCCAAGGGCCACAGACCGTGACCAACACACGAAGTCACTGGGCTTCCCAGCGGGCAGGGGCGGCGGCGCGGGCCGAAGCCCAACACGGAAGTGCCGGCGCCGGGGCTGGAGGGCAGCACCGCGTCCGCGAGGTGCGGGAGGGACACAGCACCCCGCTGTTCAGGACCGGGACCCAACTCACATGACCGCGCCAGTCGCTCCGCGCGCCGCCCCGGCCTCCTGCCTGCCCGCCTGCCTTCCTTCCCGGGGACTTGCGGGCGCCGCTCCGCTACGGGGGCCCGCACGGCTCAACGCGCGCTCGGAATCTCCGCCCCCTAGCGGGGCGGTCCTTGCGGCTCCGGGGAGGTGGGTCGATATAAACGGGTTGAGGTCACCGAGAAGGGGCAAAAACGCGACGGGGACCGAGTTGCCGGGCAGGGACCTCAAAGCCCCCGAGCCATCCCGCCTGTCCTCTCTCCCGTCCCGGGATCCACACTCTCCACTCTCCTGCTAGGCTCGCTGGCTCGAGGCCAAGGAGCTCGCTCGCGCGCCGCCTCCGCCCCGAACGCAAACAGCTGTTCCCAGAGACGTCGCCGCCCTCAACTTTGCCAACTAGTCCGCACGCTCTGTGACTAACCAAGCAACCCGGACCTGGGGGCTGGGGGGCCCTTGGCGGAGTTAAAAACAGAAAGGTGAAACCGCTGGTTCTGCCCCCCACCACCCCCACCCGCGAGGCGTCGGGCTTCGCCTCGGAACTTTCCGGTGGCGCGGCGCAGCCCCGCCCCTTCCCCGCGACGCCGCGCGCTCCTCTGCAGGGCTCGTTCCGGGGCGTGGGCAGCGACGGCTGCGGCTCGAGCGGCGTGGAGGCGGCGGGGGCTCGGGCAGCGGCGAGCTGCGTAGCGGAGGCGGTGGTGGTGCTTACGCTTGTCAGGTGGGTCGCGGCGGTGTGCTTAGCAGCATTTCCCATATGGTCTAGCGGTTAGGATTCCTGGTTTTCACCCAGGCGGCCCGGGTTCGACTCCCGGTATGGGAACTGTGTCTACCTTTTGGAAGCCCTTTAGAGGGGTTGACTCAAGTTTCTTTTCAGTGGCTCTGGCTCACTCTTTGGTCCCCCTGTGTGAGTGAGTTTGTGAAAAACCAGCCTTAGTGTAGTCGGCTGCTCCGCGAGCTGGGCTGCCGCTTTGCGAGCCACGCGCTCGGTGCGGGGTGCAGGAGCGAGCGCGCTCGGGGTCCCTCCCGCCGCGGGGACGGAATTTTACTTGGTCGGGCGCCGCTCCCCGCCCCTCCGGCCCGTAGTTTTCCAGACGCCAGGGAGGTGATGATTAACTCGGCCTGGCGTTATCTCCTCCCCGGGCCCACGCCCTGCTCGGCCGCCCCCTTCTGACTGTCCCGAGGGATGCGGGCCGGGTGTGCCCTGCCCGGGGCGGCTCGCATTCTTGCTGTTATCTGGTTGTTTAGAGGTGTCTTCCCCCACCCCCAGCTCGGGGCACCCCAGCACCCTTCTCCTCCCGCTCCCACCCGGCGGGCGCCGTTCCCCGCGTGCGCCCGGTCAGCTGCGAAACGGCCAGCTTGACACTCGGGCGCTCTCCAAAGCACCCCAGCCTCGGAGGAGGCCTTGGGGAGCAGCCTCTCTACCTCTCTGTTTCTATCTTTCTGTTTTTTTTTTTTTTTTTTCTCTTCTCTTCTCCCAGAACTACCCCCCGACACACCCCGTCCCTTAAACACAGCGAGCTGCGGAGGAAAATGCCACTGTGATGTGATGTCTTTGCAGAAGAAAATAGGCTTCCCAAATGGCTAATGTTTTGAGAGCCGCTGATTAAAAAAAAAAAAAAAAAATCTGGGGTGGAGCTTGCAAGAGAGAAAATTGGCCTGAGCCTGGGGAGGGGATGTTATAACAAAGTTTCACTGTATTTTTAAATATAGAAGCCCTGTGTTTATTACAAAGAAGGGGCAGCTGTGTCAGCAGCATGTGAGCTGTAAATGAAACAAAAGCGTTATCTTAAAGGCATGTGGAAATTAGAAAATAGGGGAGCTATAATGTTTAGTCTGTTGGGCCTCTGGGAACAAATAAAGCAGGAAAAAGTGGCTCGAGGGGATGGGTTTCTGCTCAGAGTCATTACCAAGACAGCGCAAGTTTTGGTTGTTCCAATGTATGTTCTCAAAACAGTTTTATAGCTTTAACTGCACAGTTAAATTTGAAAATAGTCTGTTAATATGGTCTGTACAATTAAAGGTTACTAAAAACAAAATATTTTGTTATCTCCATTAATTTAAATATTTGCTTACTCATGACAGGCACCATGAGATGCATTCTGGTGATTTATATTAGTAGGTAGTGGACAGAGCACTGAAAGGAATCACACTTTGGCTTCTGTGATTATGTGATTAGCTGTGTGACCTTATGAAGGGCTTTCACCTTTGTACTTCTTTAAAGCCATAAATTCTTGATAATACTCACAAACTTTAGATAGAATTGCAAGGGTTGTTGATCAATTCTTGAATAGGTAACGAAAATGGCAACGTTTCATTTAAAACTTTGCTGTATTGTATCATTAAGAACCAGTCACTAAAGAATTAGGTCAGGATTTGGAAGAAAAAGACACCTGTCTCTGCTTTGCCTCCAGACAGTTTTTGTAAGACTTGTTTGCTGTATAAATGGTGCTAAAACATGTTATTTTAAACTGATCATTCAGTAATTGCAGTAAGTCATGCTAAGTACTTGGGATGAGCCGAGGGGAGTGGTTGGGTGACAGCATCCCTGCCCAAGAGACAGATGTCTTATGTATGGTTATGCACAAGATGGAATATGGCAAAGCAACCTCTGAGTGGTGAGGAGTAGCCCTGGGGGTTGGGGGGTGGAGAGGACTGGAGAAGCGACAAGGAGGGGAAAATGTGCCCTGGATCTGGAAGAACTGGTTGGATTTTTCCGCTGGGAATGTGAATCATAAGAAGTCTGATTTGGCCAGAGCACTGAGCGCCTGGAGGGGAGAGTCCAGGGAGATCAAGCTGGGAGGTAGAAAGAAATTTTTAACTTGATAAATTTTGACAAGGCAACAGTTTTACTGAGGAGGAACTTTCTGTGTCACTTGCTTTTTAAAAAACATTTTTGTCACTTTGATTTTTGTTTCCTACTTTCTTTTTTTAAGATGATGTTCTTTTGAGGCTGGTTTTCACTGTGTAGCCTTGGCTGGCCTGGAACTGCTGTCCAACTGCCTCAGCCTCCCAAGTATAGGGATTACAGGGTTGTGACAGCACTCCTAGCTTCATCTCTCTGAAAAGTTCAAATATAGGGCTGGGGATGTGGCTCAAAAGGCAGAGCACCTGCATGTGAAGTGCAAGGTCCTGAGTTCACACCCCAGTACTGGAAAACAAAAACAGAAAACAAACATAGCTGCAAGAAAATCTTGTTTAAAACACCTGTTTGTTGAAACATAGACTATTTTGTACCAATCAGTTTTTATGTTTGAGAGTTGAGTATTAATGTTTAATTAATAAAATTGAATTGATTGCTTTTCTGTATTCTAACTTATGAGAAAGAAATCTACGTTTAAATTATGACAATCATCTGTAGCTACATTCTAATTGGCTTTATTGAAATAAGACCTTGATTACTTTAAGACAGCTGCAAATTGTCAGTAAGTTATACTTGAAAAATTGGTGAGGATTCATTCATATGCTTGTGCCCAGTTTTTACCAAAACATTATTGGCGGACATATTTGAGGCGTTGTCTCTTAGGCCAGTAAATAGTGATACTAATTGAGTGGTGTTAATTTACCAAAATAGTCTCCAGTATTTACTACTGTCACGTGTAAACAGAGGTATATGAAAGTCCAAGAAATGTTTGCAGAGAGGAAAACCTGTATTTAACGACATATAAGAGATTAGGAAATAATTACAGCATTTTAAAGTCCAAAGACCTTACTAGGATCGTTCTGGCCCAGTGTTATGTGGACTCTTGCTAACCTCCCAAGTTCTCTATCCATTCTGTCTTTTTGTTACACTTCAGCTACATTGACTTTCTTTGGTTCCTTGAACATGCCAAATTTATGTCTCAGCATTACTTTCTGTTTCCTCTGCTTGGAACATTCTCCCTCCAGCTCCTCACAAATCAGGTCAGTACCACCTTCTTAAGTCTAGCTAGAGAGTGCCCTTGTTCTTTGGCTACTTTCTGATTACTTTACTCTGTATTTTCTTACTCTGCAATTAACCTGTTCCTGTGGGTTTTTTTTTTTTTTTTGTGGTTCTGGAGTTTGAACTCAGGACTTTGTGCTTGCAAAGCAGGTACTCTACCACTTGAGCCACAGTCTTCTGCTTATTTCTTATTCCATTAGAATATTACATGGGGATGAAGATATTTTATAGTAACATCATACGTAATCCTTTGCTTTCTTTTCTTTTTTTTTTTTTTTTGAAGTCAGGGTTGGGCTGTGTACCACAGTCCTCCTGCCTCAGCCCCTTGAGTGCAGATATTACAGGTGTGTGCCATTATACCTGATATTATTCTTGTTCTGTAAGAGGCAAACCAAAGAGAATAAGTTGGAGCCTTCATGTACTTCTAGTGGAAATGCAGAATGATGTAGTTACATTGGAAAAGTTTGGCAATTCCTTACATGTTAAATACAGTTACCATTTGATCTAGCATTTCCATTGTTAGGTATATACCTAGGAGAGATGAAAACATGCCTGTATCAAAACTTGTACACAGATGTTTATAACTGTTATTTGTAATAAGGAAAAGTAGAAACAACCCAAGGGTTCATCAATTGATGAGTGAATGAAATGCATATCTGTACAATGGAATATTACCTGGCAATAAAAAGGAATAAAGTGACCTGTCTAGCAAGTGTGAGGCCTTGAGTTAAAACTCTACTACTGCCAAAAAAAAAAAAAAAAAAAAAATCAAGGATCGATGCATACTACAACATGGATAAGTTTCAATAATGTGTTAAGGAAACCAGATATTAAAAACCACTTTTTTTTTATGGTTGTTTACATAGAATATCAAAAATAGGCAAATCTATAGAGAGTTTAGTGATCGCCTCAAATTAGAGAGAAGATGGAAGGGTACCTTAGTGTTAGGTACATTTAAGTGATTAAAATGTCATGAAATCAGATTTTAGTGATAGTTGCACAGTTCTGTAAATATACTGAAAAACTGGAATTGTGCAGTTTAAATATACTTCATGGTATTTGTATTTCAAAAACTGTTAAAAATACTGGGTGCTGTGGCTCACATTGATAATCCTAACTATCTGGAGGATGGAGGTTCCAGGCCAGCTGAGGCAAATAGTTAAGAGACTCCATCTCCAAAATAACCAGAGCAATATGGACTGGAGGTATGGCTTAAACAGAGTGCCTGCTTTGCCGTTGTGAAGCCCGGAGTTCAAATCCCAGTCCCACCAAAATACAAAAAAAAAAAAACACTTAAAAAGGATGCAGAATATTTTATTTCTAGATTTTACATTTAGCATTTGGATATTACATATTTTAAAATAATAACGAAGTAATTTAACAGTGCAACTGTAGCTCCTAGATAATTCCAGGAATGTAGCAAATGCTCAGTAAACAGCT